TTACTATTGACCCTACTATTGATGTAGCTGCCAAACCACCTTATGGCAACGTTCAGACCGTCAGAATCCTAAGCCCTTCTGTTCATTTGAATGGAGCCAGTCTATTGACCTAGCAAAGAAAACAACTGGCTTTTACCTTCATCTGCGTTGGCCAACCAAATTCTTTGTAGCGTGAACAACGTATTTCTACCATTTCCCTCATGATCATCCTAATAAAATAGTTGCTGCTGTCATGGCTTTCCAGAGTTGTAAAATACTGTATTTTAAAACCGTGTCTGCAGTATTTTTCCCATCATCATTAGATTAAAAAATGCAGTGTGTGTGTCAAACATTCATTCCTCAAGATACAGACAAACAATGATCGGACTTTCTAGTCTATATGCATAATTGTTGTCATTTGGATTGTCTATACTGTAATTTTATTATGTTGATATATTCTGTACAATATCTATTGCATGTCAGTTGGTCCTGTTGCTCTTCCTGAGCTTTTTTTCCCTAATAAAGTTTTTTTGGGGAAGTTTTATCTCATCTGAAAGTGACGGTGTCCTGACAAATTTGTGATTTGTGGTATTGGGCTTGGGTATTTGTGGTATAAAATTGACTTGACTGCGGCTCTACACATGGTCTGCGGCTGTCAGACAAAACAATTACTCCACGGGATAAGCAACAATACTGCAGCATTTACATCATGTTCTCCATGTTTGTTTGTCTTTTTGCAGACACGGTAGTGTTTCCAAATGATTTTTGAAGAAACCTCCGTCCACCAAAAAAACACCTGAATAATGAAATAAGTTGGAAAACTGTTTTTGAGCGGTCTTTTAGCTTTCACTTGTTTTTCTGTCAATATATTACAAATAGCCAATCTTCTTGCTGAGGGTCTCGTAACTTATGTAGCTCCTATAGAGGCATCAGTTTCCATTGAGACTGGTTCATAACCAGTTCAAATCTCCTTGTAGTTGCTTTAAAGTGGAAATACATTCAGTCAAAGGTTCCCATTTTGGCTTGCTGTGAGGAGAATTTGTTTTTTGAGAAAAGCATGAAACAGGCATTTCCAATCTTTTTAATCATCTTGCGACCTCTCAGGTTTATCTTACGACGCCCTTCGGGGCCCCTTGATTGGTCCACTCTGTTATATGACATTAACTTTAAAAGTCTCCTTAATTGCTCCATCACTGCAGTGTGTATGAGCAGGTCCAGTCTTATAAAGGTAAACCTGCAGAACGAAGGGCGGAAAGTGAAGCAGCAGCATTCAAATGATTCACATGTCTGTCTGTGTGGCAGCGCGGTGCTAAAGGATAAAGAATGGGCCGGCCCAGTCGTAACACACTGTGACAAAACACTTACAGCCTGTAGCAGAGAAGTGCCAAATTCATCGGCTATCTGCCAGAACATTTACACGGCCGCCACCAACAGCTCTGAGAGACAGAAGAGGGGAGGAGAGAGAGACGGATGGCAGAGAAAAAGAGACAGGTAACGGGGAAACGCAAAAAAAAAAAATTGTAGTTCGACGAGTGAATTATGAGAGAGAGTAAGGTTGGAAATACAGAACACGGAGGAGAGATTTCCTTGTTTCAGAGATTAAAGGCAATCTTTGCTCATGAAGAAGGATAAATTAAGCTAGCTGCATCTACATCCATTGGATGGAGCGTCATTTTCTCTGCGTTCCGACTTTCCACGTGCATCTGTTCGTTTCTTCTAAAGGTCAACTCCTACTTGCCACGTCTATTGCTGTAAATGTCGTCACCTGCCCAAGTCTGCACGTGGTCGTCCGCATGCAGTCCAAAAAAAACCTATTTATGACTCACGCTCCAGTTTTTGTTCCACACTCCAGTCCACTTGGTTGCGTACGCACCTCTACCTTCAGCTGGTTTATTAAGGTTGTGCAAAGAGATCCGACACATGTATTTAATTTGTTTTCCAACGAGTGTAAAAACAGCCAAATGGCACTGAACTCCTGGAAAACAACGTTATGGTGCATTGGGGCTACCAACTGGAATAGAGTGTGGATCGGGAAATGCTGTGACGCCAGACCGATGCAAACCCTCAATTGTTATCGGTGTAGCTTGGTCAGTACTCTTGGTGTTACTTTCTAAGCGAGTCAAACTATGGTGCTTTACTAAGGTAGCAGTAAAGTAAATTCCAACAAAATACTTGTTTAGGTTTAGGCAACAAAACCACTTAAGTTAGGTTTAAGAAAAGCATCATGGTTGGGCTTAAAATGTAACATAAGTACAGAAAACATGTAATGTCAAAATAACTCAACAACTCTGTGATACAAACCCCAGTCTCCTGGTTGAAAGGCTTGTATTTGCTTTCATGGCTTAACAAGTTCTATAGTGTAAAATTGTTAGCTGTGATATTTTTGTATCTTTTGTGGGTTGATTTGGTTGTCCTATGTCCACATTATTGTAGCCCTGTTTTCCCCCGTGTTCTGTTCTTCCTCTCTGGTTTTAATAACAGCAGCTGTGAGCGGCTGTAGTGGAGCTGTTGCTGCTGGATCATCCATCTAGTTTTATTACCCAGTGACGTTGTCGCCACTCTGTCTGTCACCGGCCTTGTTCCATAACAACAGACATTTGTCACTGTCCTGTGCCTCCCTGCTGCGATGCCATCAGCACCACTGACAGCCACTTGGCAAGGGACACTGGGACACACACACACACACACATGCGGAAAGGCTTGTATGACCGGAGGGGAGCACACTACTTTAAAGATCACCAGAATGCTTATTAGTGACAGAGGCACTGCCATTAATTACAAATCTGGGATGTGTGGGGTGGCTTGCGTGTGTGTGTGAGAAAGAAAGAGAGAGGGGGAGGAGGCAAAATGGTAGTATAGATCGATGAAACACATTGTTCTGAATCACACACAGATTTGAACTTCGTTAGCAAATTTTAGCAGGAAAAACATCAAAAGCATAATGCATTCACATGCTGTCCCACAACAAAAACATGCAAACACACTATATTTAGCGTACTCAGTGTATTCCACAACTCACCACTGTCTAACATTATTCATCTACAAGCTGTACGAGTGTCTCTTTGTTAGACTGGACTAGTAGGGTAATTCCTTTTCTGACCACTAAGGGTCAGGAGTGAGTTAGGTTTGGTGTTGGGCAATATGGGTCAACATGGTTTGTGTGTGTGTGTGTGTGTGTGTGCACCTGTATGTCTATCTTTGTGAGGACCAGTTTGAGTTTTAGACCTTCAGAGAGGACATTTTTTGAAGTCAGGACATACTTCTTCAAAGGCCTGTTTGAGAGTTTAAACCTGGTTTTAAGGTTTAGGTTAGAAAAGGGTTAGGTTGGGTTAGGGACATGGCTTCCTTGTGAAAGAACATCCTTCTAAAAAGGCTCGGAGTTTTAAAATCCCCCTATAAAAGTCAATATAACCTAGGAAAAGAAAGTTTACAAGAAGGATAAGATTTAAAAAGACAATAAAATAATCTCAACAATAAGAAAGTTAAAACTCTCAGGATTAAAATATTAAGACATAAAATGTCTAAGAGATAAATAAGAGGAGAGTGAATTAAAGGAAGCTAAGGGATAAGAAAAGTAAAAATTGGAAGATAAGAGGTAGGTTTAAAAAATGTTTTTTTTTACAGATGGATAAAATAACACGTACCCTAGGCACTGTCAAGGTTAGGTTTAGGTTAAAATAGGGTTAGGTTACATTTGGGGAAAAGGGTAAGGGTTGTCATTGTGATGGTTAAGGATAGCATAAGGGTTCTTGTGGACATGGTCAAGGTGAGGGTTAGTGTCCTCACAAAGATACATGTACAAGGATGTGTGTGTAATTGTATGAGTTAGATAAAGCCTCAGGTTATCTGCACGAAGAGGGAGAGGTGAGTGACAAAATAAAACAGGACAATAAAACAGGAAACCCCAAAATGACACATTTTAAGAAAAGGAAAACATAATTTAACATAACTTGACAAGGTTTTACACAGGTGGTGTAATTGATGATATTAACAAATGACTGCATTCCATTTAGCTGAGCTAGTTCCTGGGTATTGTGCATGCTGGCTCACTGATATGGTTTACTAAGACACTGAACATAACTGAACTATCGTTAACAAAATTAGTTTGACCTTTGTGGCCGTAATCCTGGGACAATGTATCCTCATACGACTCGTATGACGTCATACGAAAAGTTGTAATTCTTCATGCATTTTCCTACAAAAGCCAGCAACACGCGTCAATTGCCGCTCGTTATATGCATGTAGTCTTTTCAAAATAAACATCCGTCTTCTCAGGAAACTCAGTTAAGTTTAGGCAACAGGCTTATTGATTAGATTAAGGCAACAAAACCACTTAGTTAGGTTTAGGAAAAGATTGTCGGGTTAGAGCAGAGGTAGCCAGTCTTCTGATACTCAAGTGTATGCTGGAGTCAGAGTCATAATGTCCACACCCCATTAAGCCCAAAGGAACTTTAAACTCTTCAGTCCTAAACTTTGGAGACAATCAGGCTTTTGTAGATCTGACTATGAATCAAGCAAAAGAAAAACCAGGGTCGGAGCTGTGCAGTTCATAGTTTTCTCATAACTACATATTACCCAGAGCTGGATATGACACCGATGTAGATTGCTACTGGAGAGATGGTAAACCAGTTGTTGAAACACACAAAGATACTGTATTACAATATTATTTAACGTTTTCATCTTTAAACAATTCAAAAAGTCTTATATATATATTTCCATATATTCAAACAAACATGAACTTGCTGTTTGTACAATAAGTATTTTAACCCATTTTACTGTACAACTCAGAAAGTACAGAGTACTCTGATACTTTCTGCAAAAATGACAAGGGAAAAAATAGTAACAAGTGATATGACCCTAAAATAAAAAAGATGACGTAGTCAACACATGCAGACATATTGGGATTTCACATCAAGGACATTTTTTTTACTGCAATATAGAATAGATTAAAAAAATATATTTTTAAAAGGTTCACAAGCTCTGATAACTTTGTTAAGTCAAACCTTAGTTTATATACCAAAATGTATTTATTGTTCGTTGCCTTTTGTTTTACCATGTTGACATGTGGGACGCTCATGTACAACTTAAACTCCGCTGGGATTCAAACAATGGATAAAGGCACGTAGTGGCTGACAGCTAGCGGTGCACATTTTATTGTAAACACTACTTAAACTAACAGGACATTTTTTATAAAAGTGTCATAGTAGACATCCCATCCCACAATGACCTATTGTTATCTGACCATGTGGTTAGCCATGCGTTGTAGACATCCATTACAGTTTACAGATAGATGGAAGATGTTTTTTAAGAAGATCAATTTAAGAGTTATAGTTTTTTTTGTAAGTCAGATTTCAGCAACTTTTACAGCTGTGCCAATCTCATCCACACTTTCATTTTCTATCTCTATTTTTCATGGATGTAGCTAGCTAGCTTTCTATGTAGGAAGGCGCTGTCCCCATTCTTACTAGCACCTACAAAGCTCTGAATAGTCTGACAGTTTGTTTATGTTTAAGCTGTTTTAAGTGACGCCTTACTGTTCCGAGATCTCGGCACTCTGCACCCCCTCCCTTTGGTGGGTACTTATTAAACCGATGGTCAGAACTACAAAAATAAGAGCTAAATTGAAAGGAACCATATTTTTGATAGTTTAAAAAGCACAATTCAGATTTTTCAACTTGGGTCTTATATTAGTTTGACCATCATTCTTAATCGTCAAAGTAATTGCTGAGATCTGGGAACATGGTGACATAGCAGCCCGGTCTCCAAAAAAAAAAAAGTTTCCATGCAACAAAACTGCATTGTGAACATTGCGTATTACCTTTGTATTCGACGAGAGTCTGCGTAAGTCTGTGTATGGAAGAGGTCCACACAAGACTTTCACCAAGGAGAGCTATGTTCGTGTCCCATGTGAAACCAACAAGGTTGGACATTGATACACTGAAGTTGCACAAACAAACCAACTTATTGTTCTGATTATCTTAGCCACTTTATTTGGAAGCCAAACTGAAGTTGGAGCACCTGAAGTGTTGCTAATAAACCCTTATTGAACAGGGAAAAACGGTGTGCTTAACTACAGTAAGGACAGCAAGTCAATGCTGGAAATATGTTTGTAACCTGCGAGAGAATTTCCGTCAGAATGCCCAACCTGGAGGTTTGTTTCCAACATGTCTGACTGCTTGTGTTTCTTGCCCCGTCAGCCTCATTTCCAGTGATGCCACCTTGGTCACAGATCTCAGCCATTAACTACTAATGGACGGCAATGAAAATAAGACCCAATGGCTGAAACAGACTGAAACATTAAATTGATTGAAGTTGCAAATACCACAACTGCATGCTATTAATTGTACATACAGCACACCCAACCACAGCCCACTGACTTCAGGTGAGGTGGTATTTAGTTCATGTCTACACATCAAAACAGTACAGTGGTGAAGAAGAAGTTGTTAATTGTTTTGTAGTCACAATGAGAACCTTAAGTTCGATTAAGGTACAGACGAAGAGCTGTCGAACTCCAGTGAAGCATGTTCCAACCCACCGTAGCCATTCATCTTCTTCAGTTTCAGCTGGTCCACGTGGATCAGACCCTGGGTCTCTAGGACTGCCTCCTTCTTGGAGAACATCTGGCTGATCTCCATGAATGTCTTGTTCTTTGTCTCTGGGATGACAATGTAGACGTAGATGGCCACGGACAGACAAATGCTGCCAAACACCAAGTAGCAGTAAGACCCCGCTGACATCTGATGGTTAGATGTGGCAGATGGATAGAGGATCGTTGGAAGGATTGAGAGATAAGAACAGAAAAATTTGATGAAACAAGTGATTGATCCAAAAGGAAAATAGTTATTTCGAATAAAAGCAGAGGGGACTCAAGAGAGAAAGCAAAGCTGAAGGAAAGCGTCAAGAATTCATGCTTTTCTCAGGTTTTTCAAGGCAGGACAGGTATGATGCAGCACAAGGTTGGAAACAATCAGTTGTAATCATGACTGGGAAACATTTCTGAAAGCTCCATATATCTGGCTTGAAGATGCATATACAGAAGGGCCCAAAAATCAAGCACATACCACACATCACATCTGCTGTACTTCGTTGTTCAAGGTAATTAAACTCCCAGTCAACAGATACAGTATAGTGTTATATTATCTACCACCCTTTCCATAAGAAGTGAATGCCACGTGATCATATCTTAACTAGGGATACCAACCCAGCCTCACTCCCGACTCGTCAAATACCAACGCTTAGTCAGAGCCCTTCAGCGTCTGATAGACCGCGGTTTCAACTAACGCAAATGTTAAACCACCTGCGTCATTGAAAGATGGTCAGCGAGAGAAAGTCCACTGAGGACGGACGGGTCGGCGAATACCGAACTTTTATCCGGTAGACTGGTTCGTGTCCCATGCAAAACTAAAAATAAATGTTGGTAATGTCACTCACGTGAGATGCTACCCATGTAACGAGCATAAAATGACACGTCGTCCCTGATACGTCCAAAGCTAACCGGGTACCTAGAAGGTCATAGTTTGACGCTCTAGGGCCAATGCCCAAGCGTCGGGATTTGACGAGTTGGGAGTGAGAATGTATGTGACCTACCACCATTTCCTGTCTAGCATCGCCTGATCTCTCCACAGCGCTGTTGATCAAGGTGGAACCATGTGGGACTCAGCAAGACAAGCACGACTGTCTTTGCGTTCACTTATGACCTTTCTTTCTAGTGAAAGAAGAGTAGTATGCATTCATTGTTACATGTTCTGCCTTTGTTACCACTGTTCTCTTTTTTGCTTTGGCAACAACTTCCTGGAGCTAAATTTGCTCATCGCCACATCACTACAAAGACAATAACATCAGCGACCACTATTTCACTACTGCAGCTGTATCCAACAAGACAACCAATTCTTTAGAAAAAAAGGAAGAGGGGCATCTGCTGTGCTAGTGGTTAAGATGCATACCATATAACTATAAAAATGTAATGGTTGGCTCATGGCCAGGGACCAATGGTGGATGTCACAGCAATCTATTTCGCAATAAAGAAGGGAAGATGGGAAACACACGCTCTTAGAGACATGCAGGCTTGCAAGAAGAAATTTAATAGTGGGAAAACCACACAGTCATAAGCTACTTGGAGCTTTAAAAAATTGTTTTCTAAGATTGGAAGCATACCAAGATCACATTTACCAGTTCCGGTCACATTACATTTGTGGTTGTTAAAAAGCCAGAGCATTGACATTTAGGAAAGACAAAAGCTCACGCAGGGCAGCACATTGTATAGCTTTCACCTGTAAAAAGGGGAAGACGAAGCCCACGGTGAAGTTAGATAGCCAGTTCAGTGATCCTCCTACGATGTAGGCCGCCGGCCGATGGGACTGTTTAAATAGTTCTGCTGTGATCAGGAAGGGAACTCCCGCTGGAACGGCAACAAAGCCAAACACATAAAAACATTAATACAAATCACACACTTCTGTTGAATGAGTTCACTGAAAGGTCCATGTTACCGATTTAGAATTGAACCTTGATTAGGTTGGACTGCTCATTGAAATAAAAATTTTAAAAACTTGGTGAAACTCCAAAAACTTTTGATCCTACATTTCCCACAATGCAACGTGATTGTGTCTTCCATTACGCATAGACACACATTATGCAGAATTTGTTTTTATTTATTTCTATAAAAGAAGTAAAAACTGTTTAATTGAATGTGCAAATTAAATATCCTATTAAATATGTGCTAATTTGGATAAATTCCCAGAAGAGAAATCTGGACATTGGATTGTGCCAGGTTCTGAATTAGTGTTTTCCTTTTGTTGACGAATTAGAGTCAAAGTATTTTACAGAGGGAATTTCGTTGTTTATTATATCACAGTAAATAAAATAAAATAATTTAAAAAACCCTCTGTAAAACCTTTAGAATATAGATAGAAATGAAACTGTAAAGTTTGGTGTATGCAAGTGCTATAGAAGAAGTGATTTCTGGTCTTAGAGTCTGAGAAATAACTCATTTTCAAGAGACGGATTGTAAAATAACCATTTTGAAGACACTACATGTGAATAGGGTAAAACATTTAACTAATAGATAACCACGAAACTTTAACCCCAGTTGATTAGTTACATTAAGGTGATATTTTTGTTTGTTTTCTAAAATGTTATGTTTGAATATGCAAATGAGGCATTATCTAATGTTAACTTTTGATGAATTTAGTAGAAATCTACAGGCACAAAAAAGGCAAAGTAGTCACAAAAAAAGAAGCTAAATGTACAATTTTTATGTTTTCTTTCCACCAGTCTGAAAGAAACAAAAAAGTTCAAAATCCCCAAATGGACCAGTGCATGAAAAAACCAATGGTCTGCCTGTAGTGTCTTGCCTTGAAGCAGCATTTTGTCTTCACAAATCAAGTAACTTGTTTTTCTTTTTTTAATTATGCATAAAAAAGATGCAGATGAATTTCCTATTAGAATATATCAAAAAACAGTTCTACTGAGGAGTGGCTGTGTATGGAAAATATAATTCATGTTCATTCATCATCTCTCGCACCAATATAGTTCATGCAATGCTAATTAGAGAACTGAACCAGCTGATAGGGCGAGGGCCAGTGTGTGGACAGGAGAGTCGTATATCAAAAAAATGCATATTACTAATATTTTATTATCATATTCTACCATTAAAACTGCATTATTTGTCTCTCTTACAGGAGGCCATAGAACATGGATTAGTCCGCATGAATAACTGCTTTGGGGGAATAAATAGGCATGTGCATCACTCAGTGCAGGAAGCTGTGGAACAACACTTTTCATGAATGTTCTCATTACAGATTTGACAAACCGTATGTAAATATGAATTTTAATAGCTTGAGACACACTCTGACTCTTACATTTCTTCAAATTAGAAACCCTTACAGACTGTTTAGGGTATGACCTCCAGAGGGAGCCATTTAATAACACAAAGCAACCTGTACCTCTGCAGACCAACCATGTCAGCGGTGCCGTTTGTCACCTAAAGTCCTGTTGTGCTAAAGAAATAAAATGATCCCTCCTCAGCTGCAATCAGATCTGAAATTACCTCTAGTGGTATCTCTCCATGCATATTGTGTGTCTCCACACCAGTAACATGTAGGATTTAATTGGAATAACTGACATCTAAAAATTCCAGAGTGAGTGCCAACTCTGGATCTTTGACGACAGTCTACATCAGAGCTAAAATGCTAACGTCCATTAATTGATTACTCAATTGACAGAAAATTAAACTATTTTCACAATTGATTCATCATGTCATTTTTTTAAGGGGGAAAAAAAGCCCAAAAGTCAAAGGTTCCAGCTTTAGTAAATGGAGTATGGTGTTCAGTCAGAGCACTGAAGTTGTGCTTGTAATGGCTAATTGGAATCAGCTGTTGGCAATGTGCGGTGATTGGCTCATTCACAGCTGTGTGGCATCCAAGGTTGTAATAGCGTTAACTTTTCAGTTTAATTTTAGTTTTTGTATGTTTAGTTTTTTTAAGGAGGTGGGGCAGTTATGTTTAGTATGTAGCTATACATACGCATCCAATACATGGTTGGAGAACTGTGTAGGAATGGTGATCATGTTTAAATCTTTAGTTGGCAATCAACTTGAATACTCTGACCAACTCGTGTAAGATTAGATCTGACTTACTATAATTTTTAAAGCATATATCACATCTTATTTAGGGATTTGTTCTTAGGTAAGAACAGAATCTACCACACTCAAGAGCAATTACGCACATATGAGTGCTGATGCGTTTGTGCAAAATAATTGGTTATTGTGTTTTCATCAATTCTAAAGTTGTACTATATTATGGGATTTAAGTTACAAAAGTATTTCTATCGTTTATAATTTTTTATATATACAATTATTTTACAAATCATTACCGTTTTTAAAATAAATAAACTCATCACATCAACACTTAACGAGTAATAGCATCCCATGAATGTTTTGTTTTTTATATCCACTACTGATGCTATTTAAAAATGCTCATTTGGCATTAATTTCCACTGGCGTCCTGTCCTCCAGCCTCTTTAGACCTTTTTTGGGGCGTTTCAAGTTTCTGTTTGTGCACACGGCCCTGCAGTCTCATGCCTTTTTTATGTGGATTGGCCAGGTGTTTTTACACACTAATTAGGATCAACTGGCACTCACCTTCAATTTACAAAGACAATGGGACTCATGATAAGAACACAGGTGTTAAACAATTGCGCGTTATAAGAACATGCCACATATCTGGTCAAACAAAAATAATCACATTTGACTAGTTTGAACATTTTATGGATCAAATAATTGAGAATAATAAATGAAGGAAATATTTGCAGTCACAATATAGGGAGTAGAGTGTAGTCAACCAGTGTTTGTGCTTTTCTTCTGTTGGTAAAGCTGACATAATGTATTAAAACCTTTTTTTCTAGTGTGTACAACCGCACTTGCCTGGAATCTGCTCATAGCTCCTCTGACACTGTGTGATATAATGAATAACTTAATGCAATTAGGTCAGGTCAGTTTAATGGTGTCATGTTTACAGCTCGGAAGGATATTAATAGTGCATAACAATACAAGAGGTTCCACTATCACATGTGTGTGCACAGCTTGAGTTTGGTCCTTTATCATGCATTAGAGAACAACTTGCCTGGGCCGATACAAAAGCCGGCGATGATGCCGACCACGCAGCCGACACTGACGTAGCGCATGAACGATAAGTGAGCCTGCGGGGAAGAAGGAGCAGCAGGACATTTTAGTTATTTTCTCTGATGGGAAACTCGACTCCACCCTTTCCCCGATATCTCCTCCACCCGCTGCTGCTGCAAGTAATGTAATGCTGTTGTTCCACGCGGGCAAAGCGGGAATAAGGTGCGTGCCGATGAGCGAAAGTGAAACAGATGCAGCTGTTCCTCCCCAGACTCATTCCCCCTCTTAAACACCTGGGATGTGTTTGTCCTCTCCTTCTGCTTGTTTCCTCTCCTCCCTCACTTCCAATCGTTTCCTATGAGGACGTAACTTGGGGAAAGTGAAGGAAACAAGGATAGTGACAGAAAAAACAAAACAGAAAAGCTGGGGTCTTTCTGTGCCCTCATGTCTGCATGGGGCACTCTAAATTGCCTGGAAGCACTATGTTAAACAGACTTAAAGGACCGTGTTGGTGTCAATGTGTTGCTGCAGTGAGAAGATGAAATAGATGCATTAAGGGTCAACATGCAGAGAGTTTTTATTATTTAGACCAGGCGAAAGATAACATACAATGAAGGGAAAGAAATGTGGTATCCGAATGCCGACTGAAAAATCTATGTATCTCAGGAACTGGAGTCATGCACAATCCTGCAGCGGCTTAATGGAATACCTCCCCCTTTAGAACTGATAATTTGTATATCTTTTAACTCATTGAGTGTTGAATTTCATGAAGAAACTTTTAACACTTCCGCATTAACAGGACACAGACGAGTAACGCACCTGCACAGCTGTGAGACTGTTTATGCAAGTGTTTAAATAGTACGATTTTAGCGAAAAATGCATGTGCTTGGAAAGTGGTGAGCATTCTACTGGATAAACGAGACTTGGATTATGCTGCATGATTTGTCTGAAACTGATGTTTTTGATATAAATTAGTTTCGTTGTTTGCGAGTGTGGCCTCTTCTCCGTTTTGTGATCCTCCCTTCACCGCGGAGACGTATGAAGGCATATCAATGTCAAAATCAACGAGCACAAATGAGATCCACGCGTGCGTGTGTGTAGAGGTCCCGCCGCACGAGCAAATCAAACAGCTGCGCACGTATATTACTTTTGCTCCACTCAGAATATCTCTGCTTGTGCGAGCAAAATTGTAGCCTGCAAGGAGAAAAGCATGCTTTGAGCGCGAGGAGCGTCCCCTAGTGCGCGACTTCTACTGCTCTTCCGCTCGCGAAACTTTCACTTGCTTTTTCACCCGAATATTTTTTGTTTTTGACAGTAAGTCACCAGTCACCATTTTATCACTAAATTGAATTGGTTATGGTGTGTTCACACCAAACGCGGCGCGAATTATTCGCGTCATTTATTTCCGCCATCAACCGTGGAAGTCCCGGATATCCCGGGAAACTAAACGCCTTCTTGTCTGGGTTCATAACATCATCCGGAGACGCTCTGTGGATTTCATCGAGGTGTATTCACTGTGTCTAGCAAGCCACACGTCGGCTGTTTACTACAGCTGTATGAACACAAAATAAACTGATTTTGCTGTGATTCAACTGCAATAAACTGACAAAAAGAGACGCCGAAATAACTACGTAATGATACCGATTTATAAAAAGTTTGAATTAATGTTTTGTTAGTTCTCTCTGCAAGACGACAAGCAAATAACTTTTAAAATACTTGTTTTCTCAATGGAGCTCGGATCAATCGGTGCTACTTCTATGCTAACATTGTAGCAGCCCCATCAACACTCAAAACAACATTATCTAAGCGTAAATACGGCAGCGTCTTTTTCATTGTTTGTACCATATGGTTTATACACATAATTTCGTCGGGTCTCTACTAATATGAGGTATCGTAGAGCTCTGGGTGCCCACCTACGGCTACAGTATTTTTTTCCTGATTTAACAATGGCAGCATCTCAATACTGAGGCTATCGCGCCGCAGCATTACGCGTCGCCCGAGTTGATTTTTGCGTCATTCGCGCCATCGCGAATACGCGTCACTCCAGTCTCATCGCGTCTGTGCATAGACTTTGTATGCAATCTACTCGCGTGAATACTTCGCATCACGTTTGGTCTGAACACACCTTTACAATCCTCGTCTTTGGATTGGCCAGATATCACTGACGACAGACGCTAGGGTTTCAATCCGCCACTGAACACTACATCTCAGAGGTAAAAAAATGTACCTTTTACTCCACAGAGGTACATAATGTACAGACACTACAAACATAGCATTACTGTAGATTAAACTAACGAACAGTATGTAAAGGAATAAAAACATGCAGCATACACGTTAATGCAGAAATATATAATTGGGTTTCAAAACGCTAATAACGTTGCTATTTCATCAGCCTCTGCAGTCTGAAAAGTTAACAAAACCTGTTACCTCTGAGAAGTAGTGGAGTGTAAAGTAAATTATTTACCTCTGAGATGTAGTAGAGTAGTGTTCAGTGGCTGATTGAAAACCACCTCTGTACCGACACCTAGCGTCTGTCAGGAGTGATATCCGGCCAATCATGGATCTCATTTGTGCTCGCAGATTTTGACATTTTATTGCCTTCATAGAGACGTGCAAGAAAAATCTTCAAGAAGCCAAGCTCGGGGTAAGAATTCTTGTGTAAAAATGGTCCTTTTGGCTGAGATGTATTCCTTCAAACATATACCAAGCATGGAGAAAGAGAAGAGACAACAAAGATGGAGATTTTACATTTTCTGCTTTGATTTCTCTTAACAGGAGAATCAATTTGAAGTTATTTTGTGCACCCGTGGACCTCAGGTCGACTGGGATTGCAATCGCTGGAAGTACCCATGTGTCATTTTCATCAAATTCAGAATTTCACACAGGGAGAAAAACTACACTCTCACTGTGTCTGACTTAGCAGCTCAGCTGATGCTCAAAGTGCACATTAGCAGCTGCTGAGAGGGGGGGTTTGCTTGCTGTCTCTTTGGCCTTGCACCCACACATCTCCCTGTAGTAGAAAGGTTTGGGTCTCACACACACACACACCTGTAAAATGAGGGACACTGTGATTCCAGCACTGCAGATGCCCATCATGGTAAACCCCCCGATCATGAGCGGCCTCCTGCCCAGCCTCTCTATGGAGAAACACTGCAGGAGAAGACATTGTGAATACATTCTATAGATGCGAAAACATACAGTAAACCTCAGTGTGCTTTAATGTATCTGAAGGAACAACACACAGTTTGTGAAATAGTCACAAAATGCAATATATTGGTTTTGTGTAGAACAGTACGTGTAAAACTAAAATTAGGGTTAGGGTTTGCAGTGCTAACACTGCAAAAGATACACTGATCTTTTTATCTTGTTAGATTAACAGACAAGAAGATAAAAAACACTGCTTGTTTCAGAGTTGCGTGCTGCCGGATAAATGGCTAACCGTGACACATTTACTGCCAGCTATTGTATATGGCTATCTTGCCATTTTAATATGATGTTTATACTGGCATTTCCACCGTGCACGATGGAAAATGTAACCATTTTGTGTACTTTAAGAATGAAACATTAAGCCTCATGGAGTTCTTTATAAAATAATGACTTTCTCTGCAGCATAACAACTAACCGTGCACTGACACTTTGACAGAAACAGCAGTAACCATCATAGCAGCAGCCTTGACAACGACACATTGATTGATCGACACACGTAGACATCAGTGTTAAATTCAGATGCGTGTTGCCTTGTTTATGGTTTTATATTGGGTTAGTGAGTAAGACAGAACATGGTAAACATACATATGCGCTAAAAACAAGTATAATAGTAGAAGTATCTTAATTGTGTTTTCTCTTTGCTGATCCCGCCCCAGTATGAGCCATAACCACAAAATTAATAATTCTCTAAAGCTAAATTTTCTCCTGCTTCCTTTTAACTGGCTAAGGTAGCCCTCAACTCAAAACTTTGCCTTTAAAAAATGTAAATGTAGACTTTGGCGGTCTGCATGCTGTAAATCCATTTTCTTTTCTTAAATCATATTTAAAAAATACTTCTCAGCACAACATCAAAAATAATTGCACCTCTACTTTGTAAGATTACCCCAATGAGTCCAGCGATGATCTCTATAATTCCTGTTCCTGCTGTGGTGTACGGGATCTCTGGTGCTGGGATACCCGCATTGTCAAAGATGTCATTGGTATAGAACCAGATCTGTGGTCGAAAAATAAGCATTTTAAGATAAGTGAGCAGCGGCGGCTGGCCAATAGAGGGCCAGCCGCAAAATAAAAAAAATAAATGAAATTATACAAATTGTCAATATTTGTGTTTTTGAAACATGGAATGCACCCAATAATATTTGTAAAATATATGCTTTTCCTCCACGTCCTCTCCACCTGGCTGCATATGTCTCAGCTGACTGGAGCGCTGGAGAATCTGCCCACAGGACGCGGGTCTATGAAGCAGTTTAGCCAATTGCTGATTAAATATATAAATGTGTGACATACAATTTAGCCAATTAGCGTCCTCAAATACATTCAGCGATGGGCAGAATTCGTTCCGCCCCAAGCTGCGCGTTCTCATCAGGACTAGTCTCTACAGGCGAGCGCCAGCACTGCTCCTCCAAGACCCGTTTAAGAGGAGAACTTTTGCGGAGAAACTCCAGGTGAAAGAGCTGATATCAGATCAACATGACCCCACAATCAGACAGCAGACTAGCGGGAAAGGGAAGCAGTACATGCGAAGCTTCTCTACTAGCTGTACACCAGAAAGGTTTGGCTAGCTGGATGCAGTCATGCTAATGCCTTAAAACATCGGGGACAGATCCAGCATGGACAGTTACGGGAGTGAGGGACATGAAGCATCGATGGATGGATGTGTGTGTATTATATTATAGTGAATATTATTATACAGAATATTATTATTATTATTATTATTATTATACTGAATTGCTTGTGAGGGTGACAAAAACAAGATGTTCTGAAAAATATAAGGGGCTTGTGTGATTTTTAGAGAGGTTTATATGGGTGCGACTGGCACCAAATATCTAGAATCTTTCTCTGTCAGTCGGATTAAACCAGATTAAACATTAACAGGTGAAGTTGAATTAATAAAACGTCCGCTTTCTGCTTTCAACGAACATTTTTCAAGCAGCCTCCCAATGTTCAAGTGGTACACATTGCTGTCTGCCACACCTCGTCTTTTTTGCAGCGCCAACGTCAGACATGCTCAAATCCTAAACATAGCAGCTTTAATCTTTGCCTACCAGCCGAGGAAGTTCCATTTAATGAAAACTTCTAATTATTTCATTTTCTAAACGTTTCTGTTTTACCAGCATAGGTTTGTGTGACAGGGCACATGGCACATTTAACAGAAAAAAACAGCACGTTCTCACTCTCAACTCGCCAAATATGGCAGTTTGGTCAACGACCCTCAATCTATGACGGTCTACGTACCCCTCCAAGTGTTGCCAACTCCTCAGTAAGGAAAGTAGCTATTGGCTGTCCTAAAAGTCGCTAGAAGTCACTAAATGACGTCATAGCCTAATTTGCATAATTGTAATGGGCGCTGTAGGAGAGAGGCAGCGGCTTTGCGCATGCGCGATTCATTTGCAGTCTGGACGCGGAGAGTGTGGGTCTCTTTCTGCAGCTGGGACTGCTGTGCGAGGGACTACTGTGAGAATGACCGCCTTTGAGTGCTTTGGGACGGCGGAGGAGCTCACGGCAGCACCCGCTGCTCGTTGAGGACAGTAACTGCAGAACGATTCGTGCTTTCGCGTCAGTCTCCAAGACACCAGAAAAAGTCGCTAGATTTGTCGCTAGTAGCTTTTGACAAAAAAAGTCGCCAAGGGGAGTTGGAAAGTCGCCAGATTTAACGAGAAAGTCCCTAAATTGGCAACACTGACCCCTCCAGCATTGGTTTTGCGGGTGTCAATTTCCAATAACATTAAAAAATAAACTTGGTTAGGTTTAGGCAACAAAACTACTTGGTTAGGTTACAAAAAAGGTTGGTGTTTGGCTTAAAATGAGTGTAAAATAACGTAACATTATGCAACCCACGTAACATAGCGCTATGTGATTTACCTTAAAATATGTAGGTGTATATATGCATGTTACTTGGGAAAAAAAAAAAAAAGAAAAAAATCGATGTCGACTTTGCTTTCACATACTTATTATACTAATAAGTATAACTAATAAGTTATACTACAAGTTCAAATGGGCAGCCTGGGAACAGTCTATGTCCATGGAGATTACTGCAACATGGACCTGTCTCATCTGACCGTAATTATACGTCAATGCTGTGTTTGCAGCTTGTTCTAGTGCTGCTATGTGGCCAAAATAAAATGATGAATGAGAAATACTGCTTTAAAAATGGAATTCCAGTGTGATGAATACACAAACTTATTTGAAGCCAAATAGTTACCCTTTTCCAAAATCTAACCAAGTAGTTTTGTTGCCTCAGTAAACCGTAAAAATAAGTAAACCTACGTTGGAACACCGTTTACAGGTATTGTGAACATGTTAAGTTTATTTTAAAAAGATGCTATGCATGTAACAAGCGGAAGCGGACACCCTCTCCCTGATGCGTAATTCTGAATCCCAATATAGTCTTCTTTGCAAGACCCGTTTAGGCGGAGACAATTTGTTAAGGTTGGGCGTAGACCTCACATAGTTAGGGTCAGGACAGGCCCATTGGCATAGGACCTGAACAAATCAGGTTACCAGCACTTCGGCAAGCATGGACGCATGGCCAATCCTAGCGCTTGAGTGCTGCACAGGGCGGGTCTTGCCAAGAAGAGCAGTGGGATTCATAATAAAGCGTCCCTGACAGGTCCAAAGCTGACGCTATAGCGTCACAGTTTGAAGCATAGGGCCATTCCATGATCCATACGGTTGCGCGCCGAACTTAACTATACAAGTTAACGTTAACCATCACAGTGTGAAAACCATCAGTGTGAAATACAATTTTAATGACGATATTTATCCTCCAATATTTAGTAAAATATGTGATCAGGACATTGGAATTCATGCTTTTCTAGTCACCGATCTCTGGCAATGTTACATTGTAAACAACCAATCCGTGTTTGAATTGACAGAAGAAAAGCTAGTAACCGTGGAAGCACCGCTAACGAATAAAGGTTCCGTATGGTTAAATTATGATGTGTTCAGGCTCTGTTCAGTGGAAATGAGTATTGGTCAAAGGTAAATTATAACGTTACCATAATGTGTTCACTTGTCATCTCGTAAAATGTAGTGTTGGTGAGAAACTTGAATAAATACAGCTGTTAAAAGGAAAAAAAAAAGTATGAAAAAAAAATTACTATAAATTACAATGAAGTAAAAGGGTAACATTTAGTATTTTTGAGGATTTCCACTGACTTCAGAGCAGTTGAAATGATTTTTGGGACAGAGGCAAAATAAAATAGTCTGGAGCCTTGTAGACCAGCTGCTAAAATCAAACAGCAAAGGGAACTGTATCTGCCAATTTGGATCATCAATGATCGGCGGTTTTCCCGATTTGTGACTCTGATCCGTGATCCGATCCAAACTATGAGTTTTATGATCTGGTGCACCACTACCACTGACCAAGCGGCGGTATCGGACGAGTTTGATTTGAGTGAACAGTTTCCCAAAGCAGCCCAAAGTCCTCTGTGAGCAGTTTGGCTGAGAAGCAAAGGTAAAAAAAATGTTTCTCCCCATAATGTGACATATGCTTTGAGGAGAAAAAAAAATACAATGGCGTTAATATCCAAATGAAGAGGCAGAAATTTAGAACCTTCTGCACAGGTGGCGCGGCGTTGCCACAGAGAGACGGCAGATATTTGCTCACATTTAATTTAACTTAATTTGAGGCTTTAGGGGGGAGGAGGACAGGACGGGAGGGGTATAAACTGGAGACAGCAGACGGCGATGGTTAGAGGACCAGGTAGGTAAGTACACTAAAACACATGGCTGGCATTAATGGTTACACACACACACATCCTGTGGTGTGCCAGGAACTGTGCCAAGGCTTGCCAACTGTCGCATGCACTTAGGGCTGAAGATCACCTCGAGCATCTGCCAGTCACCATTGTCAGCATCATAGTCACAATCATTGTTCGTCAGACACCTTCGTCACCACTGTTACCATTATTATCCTCACCATAATCGCTATAATTTTCAACGTCGTAAATGATTTGCGATCATGTTTCTTAGCATAGTCATCAAACATAACCAAGAAGAAAAGATTGTGATATATTTCTTTAGGTTTCGGAAAAGATTGTGAGTTACTTGGTTACTTTTATGCAATAAAACTACTTAGTTGGGTTTAAGAAAAGATCGTTGTTTGGGTTAAAATAACTACGGTGCCATAACACAATTACACAAGTTACGTGACAAATAAATGAACAGTGACTTCTTGCTTCACACAAGGAACAAACAGCGGTCTCCTGGGTGAAAGAACGCTTTTTGTTGGACCCATCCACAAAACCTTCCACTCACCCAGTGTGGGCTTGTGCTTTCTGCTTCATGATTACCTGGACTACATACAAATTGATTTCCATGGGCTATAGATACAAATTACAGTGCAGTAGGTATAGCTGCAAACACTGGATGACGATGATGATGTCTTCATCACCATCTGTTATAACTGTTATCCTCATGGTCAACGGAGTCACTTTTTTATTTTTACCGTTGCATAAGAGTATCATCAGTATTCTGGTCTTCCTGACCATCATCACCAGTATCAACAATAATATCACAATCATCACTATGGTCACCACTATTCTAATTATTATAACCATTGTCGTCATGCGTAGTTATCATCTTGGCCATCATTATTACCATCATCTCCATCAATACTCTCATCCTCATTACTATGGTCACCAAAGTCACCTTTACCCGCATCACCATCATCCTCATTGGTTATATTGATTGATTCATTTTCTTCTCATTCTAGTATTGTTGTTTCCATCACCAACACCAACGCAATCATCCTCATCCTCAGCGCTGTTGTCAGTATGTGCGTGCTTCAGCACTGCTCCACTTTGTTTCAGCAGAGCTAATTAGCAGCTAAAAATACAGCCTGGAGAAGGGCGTGCTAATGAGTTCAGCTCCAGTGCTTACAGTGTGCACTTTCTGGCCCGGGCGCCCTGGTAATCATTTGAATAATTAATGAATCTCTGGGGCATAATTCAGAGGGGGAATTTGGCTAATTGTACGGGCAGGAAAAATGATGACACAAGCTTTTTGCTTCATTCACGAGAGGCTTATAAAACAATGAGGGATCATTTAGGCCTACTTTCATCTCAGTGTCTTGTCTAATAAGCTAGATCAATTAGATGAGGGAGTGGTGGAAACATGGGGGAGTGGTCTGGGCGGACAAAGGAAGGGAAAGAGCAAACTGAACCATTGGGAAGTGAGGGAGATAAAGTGGAAAGTGAAAAAGAGCCAGAACTGACAAAAGACATCCGATGCCGTTTCGTCAGGAGTTTGTGCTGCTCATCATTGTAGCCTAAAGACTCCATTTAACAGACACCATTTCGCAACTAACAGTTGATGGTAAACGAGCTCAAAGAGGGGATATAGAAACAGAACATGTTTGTTGATACTGTTTTGCAGCAAACACCTGTTAAACATTGGAACGCCCTCCGGGCAGTAACTTATATGAATAGACTATTTTGGGCCCCGTTTTTTTAGGCAAATGCCAGTATAATTACAGGTCACAATGTATGTACAGTATATGTAACATTAATAGTTGTGTTGGCAGAGCTCTGGTCAGTGTGGACTAAGTCACATGAATTAAGGCCTTTGCACACAAAGTACATATTTTTTTTCTTGATCCAAAAAAAAGGTTACGCACAGAAAACTTGCGCACTGAGTCCCATGCATTTTATTATTCTATTTGTAGCAAAAATTCGCAATACGACACAAAACTGGATTCATTTCGGGGTGCAATGGTAGCGCTGGTCCCAAACAGGGCTAATGAATGAATGACATTGGATGATGACGTGTGGTCAAACAACTGTAAAGGCCTATGACCAGTGGCGGCTGGCCAATAGAGGGCCATGGGGCGTGGCCCCACCTTGAGCGCCCCTCCTTGAGCCACAAAAATAATAAATTATACAAATTGTCAATATTTGTGTTTTTGAAACATGGAATGTACCCAGTAATATTTATAAAATATGATATCTGCGCAAAATATATGCTTTTCCTGCACATCCTCTCCGCCTGTCTGCATGTCTCAGCAGCGCTGCTCTGACAGATGTGAAAAAACACAGAAAGTATAAACTGTTTCGGAAACTTTAATGGCGGATAAAGGTTTGTGTTGTCATTGTGTAAACGCGATTGACACAACGTGAGGTCGTATTTATTTTTAAACCTGGAACAATTTTGTATGAAATATATAGACTTCATAGTCATCAATTTCTTTTGACTTTATGATTTTAAAGTTGGCGTGACAAAGTCAAAAATGACTTCACCAATGACTGGAATGCTTGGAATGACTATTCTAAAGAGTATTTGCTCTGTGGGCAAGCACCTTATACTGTGGTTAAAATTTGGACTTACTAAAGATAGTAGGCTATAATATCAAAAAGACATTGTGGCAGACAGCAGAGCAAGCTAACGCCCTGTTCTTCTGCGTATACATTAATCAGTTTTCAAAGAGTCCTTACAGCATCGATGCCGGACAGCTGCATGCCGATGTTGATGACCATCACACTAAGCACCTGCCAGCGGACTGTGTCATCCAGTAACAGTTTCCACACCGACAGCGTCTCCACTGACGACAGGGAGCGCTGCTCCTCCTGCATCTCCTCGATCTCGGCCTGGATGTTGCACTTGGCTCTGTACCACTTCAGGGCTGAGAGACAGGGGACAGGAAGCAGCATGGTCACGGCACATTATGGACAAACAATAACACATACGAAACAAGTCATTGCAGCTACACCAGCTGATGTATTTCACACGGAAAGTCAGACAAGCTAACTAGCTAACCAAGATAACAGTAGTGTTGGTACAGAATATTGCCGGTGTCAGTCAGTTGGACAGTCTGTCCACCGGTCATCAGTGCCTTTCATAATTCCCAGTCCCATCTTGTTCTGTGTGTACATGCTGCTCCTCTGCCACATAATTTGTAGCTCTGATTATTATTATTATTATTATTATTATTATCTTCGCCTGCAGAATCATGCTACCACTCATTTGCTTGTGTCTGTGTGTCCGTGAGTGAGTGTGCACTTCTGTCTGTCCACTTCTAATCTTCCATTCTGCTGCAGCAAACTCTATAATAGCATAAAAGCTGCATGCTCAAGGACCTCTCTGGGTTGCAGGGACTCAAACTTTCTCAAAACACACATTACCTGTTATAAACTGCCATTGACTGCCTGGTGACTCCTCACTCACTACTTTTAACCACCCTCCCATAAAGTGGGGGATATCAGTTTGTTCACTTTTATTGTTTTGGACGTTGGCGAACAGCTAACGCAGTGGTTGTCAAACTGTGGGGTGCGCCCCTCTAGTGGGGCGCGGTGATATTACAGGTGGGGCGCAGGGGGAAATGCAGAATATCTTTTATTTATTTTTTTAAGTAATAAATAAATACATGGCAAAATGTATGGAAGCCCGTTTCCGCCACTGTGAGGAGAAATACAGATCCTGTAAGTCATTATAATGAGACACTATCTCATAATAATGTTATGTTTATTTTATTTGATATGGACATCACAGTAGCATTAGAATTGTAGCATACATTTATGCACAAAGCCCAGATGCACTGTGTTAAGTGTTTGAAGCGAAATGCTAATTTACAACACCTGTCCACAGGAGGCTTTTTGCCAAAGTGTAGTTCCTTTTTGCACAGATATAACTTTATTTGCATTGTTCTAACAAAGTGATTGCACATTTTATTTGTTTTCGGTCTGATGGAGTAATCTGGTTTACTTAAAAGTGATTGCAATTTTCTTTATTCTATTATTTGAAAAAGCACAGACGGAGGAGTCACAAAATGTTATTTCAATAAAAGTTCAACATGGACCATTTTGTTACAATTTTGTTGTGGCGGTGGGGCATGAACATTTTTCTTCCTCCAAAGTGGGGCGCAACAGAAAAGGTTCGAGAACCACTGAGCTAACGGAACTACCAGTACACACACTACTGAGTACATCGCCAATTCCAAGCTGCTGCTAAGCGGGCAGACAGCTTGGTGATTTTTATTTTGGGCAAAGTTGTGTCATGTCAACTTCCAGCCAATTGCCAGCATACATCAACGCTTGGTTTAGAGTTTGAATATGTGTTTTACGACGCCTAACAGCCAATTGGTGTCTACACAGTTGGTTAACCAGTTATGGGTTGTATTCATTCAATCACACAATAGAGCAGTGGTGGTTGCTGACACAGATCTGCTCTCTACTGAGTAAACCTTTCTAGTTTTTCTAGTGATGAAACTCAACACAATTCATAACTGCCATAGTGCAATAAAATAATGCATGTCTCAAAATGGATTACGACTGAACATTTTACTGGGCCAGTTACACACAAATATTCAAATTTGCTTGGTTTTCATGCGAAAATGTTGGCACAATGTAGCGTTGTCTTCCTTCTGTAACGCGCCTCCTTCTTGATGTGCAGCGGTGCCACAACACTGACCTGTGATGGTGGCATGGACGTTGTGCTTCTCCATCAGCAGGTACCTGGGGCTTTCCGGGAACCATGGTAACAGCATCAACTGGATGAAGGTGGGCACCACCACCACTGAAAGAAAGAGGGGCCAGTGTTCCTCCTGTAAAAGTTATACAACGCAGTCATACTTACATATGCTGAAACGCTCATCAGCACTGATAATGTTAGGACAACGTCTACCAGTCAGTGACACAAAAGTGATATGATGGATATGGTGTTTTTTAATTTTTATGTATTTATTGTATAGGTAAACACCTATAACAACATCGGTTGTTTACGAGAAACACTTGATACATTTCTAATGAATGGTGGCCATTTCAGGACATCTCAAGTCAACTTTAATCCATCCAAGATGTGCTTTGTCAGGCACAATAATGTTGCAAAGCCATTTGACTACCTTTCCCAAAAGCTCATGTAGGCCCAGGATTTGGGCAGCGAAGACTCCGGTTCCAATAAAGATACTCGGCACAAGACCCAGGAAGCCTCGCAGGTTCTTAGGCGCCATCTCACCCAGGTACATTGGGACAACACTTAGAGAGATGCCTGCAGTGTAATATATAGCAGAGAAGAAGATCTATGTAGCAATGCACTGATTAATAATACATGCTCTATAAAGACTTCATAGTATGATTGTAGTATGACTATAGTGTACACAAAAATAGAGTATCTGAGCAAATAGAGCCAAGAGAGGGGCCTATACTACATGGACAAAAGTATGTGGACACTCAAACAAAGCATGTAGATAGATACCTGAACGTTAACCAAATAACAAAACTGAAATAGGATTGTTGGATGCGGTCCTGCGAACTCAACGTAAACGGTAGTCAGTGATGTAAGAAAAGCATTACTTTTACTTGCTGGTCTCACTCCTGGGGTGTCAAATACCGATGCATGGGCAGTTGCCCTCGGTGCCATGATACCGATCAATAAAGCATACCCTGCTTTATTGTCTGATACTAAAAGGACCATAATTTACTAAATGAACATCATGCTGTATTGAAGACTTGAAACTAGCGGTTGAGACCATAAACTCATGTTTACAATCTTTACTAAGTCAAGTGAGAAGTAGGGTCATTTTCTCATGGACTTCTATACAACCTAACTTCTTTTTGCAACCAGAGAAGTTAACCCCTGCTGGCCATTAGAGAAAATGCAAGATTGAGACACTTCCATATTGGCTTCACTCTTAAGAACCAGAGGTCATCACTTGGGGTGTCCACATACATTTGGCTGCATAGTGTACATGTCCCAGTGGATACAGAGGTGTATGTGAATGTGTGTGTG